CTTTCATTTCATTTAATTTATGTTTTGTATTTTTATTGTATATTGAATTTATGTTGTTTTGTTTTAAATGAATAAACTTTTATAAATAAATAAAAAAATAAAAATAATTATTTGTGTGAAAATGAGTAAAAAAATACATTTCTGTAGAGGAAATGTGGAGCTGTATGTGGCGTTCACATGGGCTGATAAAAGTAGGAAAATGAAACGCTGTGGATCATGTAACTAATGTTTTACATTTTTATTGGTTGGTTTTTGAGTTCCTCTCTGAATTAGTACTAACCAAATAAATGTCTCATTTTAATTTAAAAGTCTAAAACAGGTTGGAGGTAACGCAGTACCATAGAGGGTAAAAAGCTACTAAAAAGTACTATGATGGTTCTGAGAATGCACAAAGGCAAAACCTGCTAAAAATACGTTCTGATAGTGCTTCTCGGGACTGCAAATGAAAAATGATTTGGGATACGTACACCTTGACGTCACACAGGTAACAGTGCTGATCCTGGATCACGTGAGCTCGCTTCGTCCGGTCAAACAGAGGCATCGGGTTGGAGTAGGTCCTTTTGGCCCTCACAGTTCCATCTGCAGGATCTACAGTCACAGCAGCTATGTGACTGAAAAAGTGTACAATAAACGATATGCCAGCAACCTGAAAAAAAGAGATGAGTTGAGGGAAAAGAACCTGAACGTCCAGAAAGTGTTGATCAGTCATTCAAACGATACGTTTTTCAGCTTGTCAAGGTAAGAAGTAAAACTTCGATCAGGTGAAGTTTTACACCATCATCATCACAATCACCAGTCGTACCAGGTCCTATTAACCTTTATTTAATCAGGCAAATCCCGCAGCCTAACATGTATGTTTCTGTCTGTGAGAGGAAACTGAAAAAAACAAAACACATAAACAATGAGGGAAGCATGAAAACTCCACACAGAGGCCCAGTCCCAATGCTCAGTGCACTCTACACCCCTCTGTGAAGTGTAAATAAGAGAATGATAACATCTAATATTCTGAAGAAATATGGAGAAGCGGAAGTGAATCCATGCAAAGTGTTTGTTTGTTCTCAGTTGCTTTGATTTTGTTGTAATTTACTTTCATTTTGAACATATTCTGGGGATTAAAAATGGGCAGATATTATAAGATTTATTCTTCTTCTGCTGCCTTTCATTTTATTTGAATTTGTTTTGAGTGCATATGTTTTGTTCTTTGTCTTTGTTACAAATGAAATGAATAAATTTCTAAATAAAATAAAATGTGGATTCAGTCCAAGTGCACATAAGTGTTTGAGTGCACAGGTTACAAGCGTGCAAAAAAATTGAGAATTGGGGCAGTACGGATTACGTCATCGACTTGCGCCTCTTCGTCGTAACTGTGACACCCAACACGGCGGGACCGGTCACTGTTTTGGCATTTGTTTTGCTAAAAAAGCAATGGGTTTTAGGCGAAGAAACATGGAGCGAAGGAGGCTTATACATCAGAGTATGAGAACTAACTAACAAGTTCTTCTTCTTTTGGTTTTATTGGTGGTTGGCAGACTCATTTAAGTGCATTACTGCCACCACTAAACTGGAAGGTGCTCAGTGGACACTACCAGATTTCTGCCTTTTAATTCAAAATGTCACACAGCCATGAATTGTGGATAATACACTTCACCGAAGTCCGTAAAAATGCGGACTTCGCTTAATGGTGGAAATAGTACCCCAAAATGGGTGGGGCAAACTCAAACCCTTCAACATGAACGTGCATTTGAAGATCAGAAGGGCGGAACGAGGGTGGGAGTGCGTGTGTTGGGACAGGGCCAGAAAGAGCCCAGGTCCAAACCTGGGATTGAACCCAGAACCTATTTGCTGCGAGGCTACAGTACTAACTAGGGATACACGAAATAAGGGCATTAACATTGGTATCGGCCAATATTGATCATGTTTTAGAATATCGTTATCGGCCCGATATGTACAACTGGGCCGATATTAACGTCTGATATTGATTTCCCACTTTTTATCTTTGTGTTTCTGTTTTGGAAGGCAAAATGGTTGGTCGAGTGGTATCTGTCTGATTATGAAAGGGATATTGATGCTGCACAGCCAGGAATAACTGAAGTAGGGAGCCATGTCAGAGGTCTGGTCATTTATTTGTGGTATCGAAAAAAGACCCAAGTGTGTTTGTGCGTATATGTATATAAATAATTTCTGTGTTTGTGTAATATCAGAAAATATCGGTTATCGGCCATAACAGCAATAATTATATCGGATATCGGCTGAAATTTCCATATCGGTGCAATCCTAGTACTAACTACTGAGGCACCGTGCTGCCATGAACAATGACGTGAAAATTTACAAAATGTTCTAAGAAGTTGCCAATCTTCTCCAGGTTTACCCAAAAGGTCAAACCCTCACTAGGGTTGGGCAATGTTGGCAAAAACATTTATCACGATTAATTGTGGTATTTAGCCAATAACGATTAATTTGACGATTAATCCCCTGGAGTTCCTGGACACGCGTCCTAGTCACATAGCAAATTTAGTGGGAAAGATTTGCTCTTCGTAAAAATCTTTTTCAAACTGTGTAAAAATTACGGACTTCAGGCTACACGTTAAATTCTAAATTATGTTGATAGATAAATAAATTACAGAACTTTTTTTTAATGTTCATCATATTTGAAGCGGAGAGGAGCAGCCTGGTGGCATTAATCGTATTAATCGTCAAGTGCCAAAAAATAATCGATTAAAGTTTTTCTGACGATTAATTGCACAGGATAGGATTACGCCCAACCCTAACCCTCACGCATTCAGAGAAAATACAAAGAAAAAAAGAGCAACAACTCTTCCAATACAGACCTCAGTTAGCATTTTGAAATGTATAAAAGTACTAATAAATATCAATAAAAAGACAAGACAATTTAAGCTGTTGTTGACTGAATGCAATATTTGTCTCAAAACGAGTCACCAAACGGAAAAAAAACCGACCCCGACCAGAGCTTTAAATCTACAACAGAACATCTGAAAACAATGCAAAAAAAAAGTCAATTCGTTTCAATGGCACAGTCAAAGTCCAGACCTCGGCCTGATTGAAACACTGTGGTGAAAGATTAAAACAGCCGTGCGTGTCAACAAACATCTGCAGACCAAAGAGCTAAAGCAACGAAGAGAAGTGGGCCAACATGCAAGAGGCTGATAAACCTGTGTCTGTCCATTTATCTGTCCGTTAGCAAAATATCTCATGACCCACTGAACAAACGTTAATGAAAGTAATCGTTAGAAATAAACGACTACAGCTGATTAACATCTGGAGTCAACCTGATTGCAGATGATAGCATCCAAACAGATTTTTAGAGCTCCGTCAGTTTTACAGATATCGAGCTAAGGCTCGGTGTGGTAGTAGCAGAGAGTCACGTCCAACTCRTACTCGGAGGAGCACTAACATATTTGTGTAAAAAGTTGGCATGCAAGGTGGCGGGCGATATCATTCCTTCAAGGAAAGCTGATTTTATTTGCTTTAATTGCTTCAAATCGCTGAAGCATCCCATAATTCATTGACTTGAAGCAATTAAAGCAAATAAAAGCAGCAGAAGCTGCTTTTATTTGCTTTAATTGCTTCAAGTCAATGAATTATGGGATGCTTCAGCGATTTTTTGCTAAGATTTTATCGAATAATGACACAACCTACGACGTCACGCGTTTGATTTAACTGTCCTTTTTTTGTTTGTTTTAAATTATGTCCCATAAGTAAAGCCTTGAAATGGAAAGTTTGCTTACTTTTTATTCTGTCTGTCGCTCGGTGCATTTAGCTCCGCGCAGCTGCTCCTACTTCACTGAGAAATGTCTGCGTTTATTGTTGCGTTGTGCCTGTTTKTACGTGTTTATTCTGTTCTTTGCTCATCATAACTGCATGSAAGAAGTTGGTCTCTGAAAACCAYGTGCTGCTTTTGTTTTATTTTATATATTTACTTGATCTCATTAAAGGGAGGGGTTGGACTTCATTTTTCCAGAGCTGCCGGGAAAATTTGTTCCTAAYGTTTTGCCTGGTGAAATAAAAACAAGACACTAAGAATAGTTGTTTGAAACAAGTGGAATCTGTTGTGTGAAAAGGGTCAATGAGGCTTAGGTCAAATGAACTGGTGTGTTGACATCGTGCAGTGAGACAAACGGACCACTGATCGAGACGTTCCAGCCCTGATAAAGAGACATAGTTTTTTCTCCTACGACTGGAGTCTATACAAACCAGACACACAAMAAAATCCTTGTCTCGTCCCGCAGCCCAAAACAAACCGATATCAGACATCGAAGCCCCACCGCTGCGCCTCTGATAGGCAGACAGACAGCGTCTTCCCCTGAAGGATACAGAATAGGCCAAGTAGCTCCACGGTTGAGGCAGGAGAGGGATGTGAACGCCGAAGCCGATGATGGCCAGGTAGCTGAACACCAGCCACCCGATCACCTGCAGCGGCTGCAGGGGCAACGACCACCCGTTGATCCGGGGAGGCTTGGAGGGGACCAGCTCGTTCTTGCTGCTGCCTCGAGTAGGAGACACGCGCCTCAGCGTCTGACTGAAGCAGCTCATCTGAAACAGGATAAAGAGGAAAATAAGCAACAGGCTGGATTTTAATACACACACAGAGTCGAGCTCCTGCAGGGAGAGTGGATCCAYATTTGTTAGGAAAATGAGCTGAGGATAATGACAGCAACTGTTCAACCACTGACCTATACACTCACACTCTGATGTGTCATTTCAGCAGAGTAGTTTTAGATCAACATTCAGATCATATATAAATTTAACTTTACAAACTCCACAGCACAACAAAATAAATGTCATTTTTKTCATAAAGCTAGAACACCTTCCAAAGCATGCATGAGCAATACAAAATCTATGTAAACGACATATACTAATAAACAAATCTTTCAGAAAACAAATACTCCAGAGAAAAAGGTCAACGTCTCTCTTTCTGTGCTTTTATTTTGAAAAACTTTTAATTAAAACTCGGTATGAGGACTTATTTTGTAATATTTAGGAGTGAAATATGACTTTATTTACTTTTTAAAAATTAATATAAGTTATATGTTAGTAAAAATCGACATTTTATCTGTGCATCTCCCTGAAACCCCTTTTCAGTTTTTCTGTTTCACTCAAAACAAGCTRTCAAACTCTTTCAAAATAAACTATTAATGACAAAATAAATAAATACCTATAAGACATATTTTACAAAAAATATTTACCAGATAAATTACTTACTTTTTTTTTTTTTCCTCTCCGGAGAAACACATTCACTACCTTTTCTGTTCCAACACAAACGATTTCCACCGCATCTTTTCGTCCTACAAGTGGTTTATCAGCCGTGCAGGTGCGTTAAATAAATTTATCCACATTACAGAAACTTCACGACTACAACAGGAAAATGTTAAGTCCTTCGACAGTCCTGGATAAATCGTTTTGTGTCCTTGTGTCACTGAAGGACGTGAAACAATTCAGCCAAAACTTGGGATAATCAACTCAGCAGGGTTGCCAGGTAGGAAATGAGGAAATGTCGTAAGCTTGCGGACGGTCTGGCTCGTCGGAACAGACCATGATTAATGGGTGTCCATGTGAATGAAAAAGTTTCCTTTCGTGATCAGAAATTCTAAAACTATATCTTTATAAAAAAAACATCTTTAGTATATGGGCGCTAAAACTATCGTAGAAAACGGTAATTTCCGTATATCTGGCAACGCAGAACTGCGCATGCGCGTTCCGACTCGGGCTTTTTTGTCTGTAGACATCTCAGGAAATAATTTACACCCCCGTTTTCTTTTTTATWTTACGTGAAAATGTATATCTATGGAGCTAAAACAGGTTTTTAATTGTGTCGCTGTTTTATTTTCTACGTTTTACCATTTTTACCACAGCAAATCTCTTTTTCAACATCAAAATAAGCTGTCAGTTTTAGCTTTTAGACCATACTTTTTTTCAGCTCCTCAAAATACTAAAATAGAGAATAAAATACATTTTAACTGTTTTTTTTTCTTTCTTTTAAATGACCTATGTCTGCACTACAAGCAAAGAGAAACTGATCTTAAAAGACTTCAGGGGTACAGAAATGCAGATAAGCAATTTAAAGATTTTTAATTTATTAATGAACAACACRCACTATTACACATGCAAATATTTATAAGAGTTTTCTGATACAAAACCCTAGAAATCCAGTCTGTACATTCMGTTTTTAAGACAAATGATTAAACAGTTCAATGTTTTGTGTTCGTAGAAAAACAAAACAAAAAAAGGACAGGAAGTCTATGTGTGCAGTCAGCTGTTGGTCGAGCCCTCCGGCTCCGGAGACTGCAGGAACTCGTAGGGATCGTGAATCATTTCAGAGTGATCTCCAACACCCAGGTGTGACGGGCTGCCTGTGGACAGAAGAAAAGAAGGCYTTTAATGGCAAAGCAAAGGACTAAAAGGTGGCTGCTCCCTGCTGCAGATACCTAAGTGGTGCTGGTCTCTTTCAGAGGCATTGGAAAGGGAGGACAAGTTGGATGAAGGTCTGGAGCAGACTCGGTCCACCTGAGCCTCCTGGAACTCCTGCAGCAGCTTATCGGTGTCGTCAAAATGCTGGTGGCCTTCGTCGTTCCCGGGCTCTTTTTTCACTGGTTTACCTGGAGCCAGAGTGTTGTTTAAAGTACCACAAAGTGATACTTGAGCAAAAGTACAAGTACCTTACCAAGAAATTACTTTGGTAAAAGTTAAAGTCTCCTTTAGGAATATTACTTAAGTAAAAGTCTTAAAGTATCTGGTATTTTTTGTACTTAAGTATTAAAAGTAAAAGTATTGATATAAAATGAGCAGTTAGATTTTCTGTAAGGACATTTATTAGG